ACACCTTTCGGTAGTGAAGGGCGAGGTATAAATCCAATCTCCTCTTCTCTTCTTCCTCTTCCCAAATAATTATATATTTCTTTGCTTTGCCTCTCCCCTTGTGGTGTGCTGTGGGTTAGGAAAGTGGGCCCACGTGAGGTTTGCCCAGGTGTTTCGCCACTGTGTAATTTTGTATAGGATATCCAATTCAACATACTGAGAAACTTACATTTCTATTTAAAAAAATAATAAATCCCAAACTCACGGTTGTGTCCCTTGGGTATCAATTTCAGTATAGTAAGAATCTTACTTCTTTAAAAATCCCAGGCGTCTAGATGTCATGACTGTGCCTCAGAGAGCCAGTTTGGCGTAGTGGTTAGGAGCGGCGGACTCTAATCTGGGAGAACCAAGTTTGATCCCCCACTTTTCCACATGCAGCAGCTGGTGTGACCTTGGGTCAGTCACAAGTTCGCCCAGAGCTGTTCTCTCAAGAGCAGTTCTCGGGAGAGTTCTCTCAGCCCCACCCACCTCACAGGGTGTCTGTTGTGGGGAGGGGAAGGGAAAGGAGATTGTAAGCTGCTCTGAGACTCCTTCAGGTAGTAAAGGGCAGGGTATAAATACTTCAATAAATCCTCTTTTATTCAAATATGCCCACTCTGAAAGAAATACTTTCCAGGAGGGAGGGGAAGGGAAAGGAGTTTGTAAGCCGCTCTGAGACACCTTTCGGTAGTGAAGGGCGAGGTATAAATCCAATCTCCTCTTCTCTTCTTCCTCTTCCCAAATAATTATATATTTCTTTGCTTTGCCTCTCCCCTTGTGGTGTGCTGTGGGTTGGGAAAGTGGGCCCACGTGAGGTTTGCCCAAGTGTTTCGCCACTGTGTGAGTTTGTATAGGATATCCAATACTGAGAAACTTAAATTTCTATTTTAAAAAATAATAAATCCCAAACTCATGGTTGTGTCCCTTGGGTATCAATTTCAGTATAGTAAGAATCTTACTTCTTTAAAAATCCCAGGCGTCTAGATGTCATGACTGTGCCTCAGAGAGCCAGTTTGGCGTAGTGGTTAGGAGCGGCGGACTCTAATCTGGGAGAACCAAGTTTGATCCCCCACTTTTCCACATGCAGCAGCTGGTGTGACCTTGGGTCAGTCACAAGTTCTCCCAGAGCTGTTCTCTCAAGAGCAGTTCTCGGGAGAGCTCTCTCGGCCCCACCTACCTCACAGGGTGTCTGTTGTGGGGAGGGGAAGGGAAAGGAGATTGTAAGCTGCTCTGAGACTCCTTCAGGTAGTAAAGGGCAGGGTATAAATACTTCAATAAATCCTCTTTTATTCAAATATGCCCACTCTGAAAGAAATACTTTCCAGGACCACACAGTACCTCGAACGCCTTAAACCCTCGACATACCTACCCAGAAATAGAGAAAGCATAAAGGTTTGGAAATCCTTTTAAAATTTCCAGGTGGCAGCCGGAATATCCAGTAGAATAAAATATAAAGAACACTTTTAAAGTATAACCAGACCTCCCCAGTTAAGGGGTCGTCACAATAGATTTGGAGGTGTGTGAACAGTACCCAGCAGTGGAATCTCCAAAGCCACCGAGTTCTTCTTCTGCATAGCAAAAAGCAGAATAAATTATGCCGGTTAAGCACATGCATGCCAATCAGCATCATTCTGTGGGGTGTAGCTTGGAGGAACGACGACTGAGGGGTGACGTGATCGAGGTTTATAAGATTATGCATGGGAAAGAGCAGGTAGAGAGAGAGGTACTTTTCTCCCTTTCTCACAATACAAGAACTCGTGGGCACTCCATGAAATTGCTGAGCGGTTGGGTTAGAACAGATAAGAGGAAGTGCTTCTTCACCCAAAGAGTGATTCACACTTGGAATTCACTGCCACAGGAGGTGGTGGTGGCTACAAGCACGGACGGTTTCAAGAGGGAATTGGATAAGCATATGGAGCAGAGGTCCATCTGTGGCTATTAGCCACAAGGTATAGACAGGAACTCTCGGTCTGGAGCAAGTGATGCTCTGTCTTCTTGGTGCTTGGGGGGGTCAACGGTGGGAGGGCTTCTAGTGTCCTGGCCCCACTGGTGGACCTCCTGAGGGCACCTGGTATTTCTGGCCACTGTGTGACACAGAGTGTTGGACTGGATGGGCCCTTGGCCTGATCCAACTTTGGCGTCTCTTATGTTCTTATTCATACAAGCTTAGAGAATTGAGGTTTTTTTCCCACCAGTGAGGAATGTTGATTTCCAGTTTTTGCCGCGTCAAGTTGATGGTGGCGAGGATGCCACCGTGGCTCATCTGAGACTTCCTGTGCAGCAAGCGCGGTCCCCTTTGGATTCCTTTAGCCACTCTGCAGTGGTCGCTCACGCAGGTACCCTGAGAAGGCCCCCTGTTCAGTCCCGGCCAGCAACACTAACCAAAGGATCTCTCATAGCCAGGCAGGCAATTCTTTCAGTATGAGAGTCCAGACCATCCTGGCTTCATATAAGGCAGCTTCTTATCTGCGCTGATCTCACTGTACACATTTTCCAGCTGGGGATGGAGATGGTTTTGATTTGGGTGGGCTTCTCTGTGCACAAATTTTGGTGGAACGTCATCGAATGTGTTCTGAAGGCATGCGATGCGTCCGGTCCTGGCCTCAATGGGGTACCACCAAAGAACTCTCTGATTGCCAGCTTGTTTTCCGCGCTGGGGGGAAATGGCCACAAATAAATAACGTTTTAGCAAAATGTGGGGAGAGAAGACCATTCATGAAATCAAAATGTCATATTTCTTGGGCCTTTGAGCGAGGGCTGCCGCATGCCTCCAATCAACCTGCAGGATTAAAAGCCTTTAATCAGCACTCCTAATGAATCAAGTGGCAAATCCCTTCCCCCCAAACAATGTTAATTATTTATTACAAGAAGGTATAAAGCCTGTAGAAGAAGAGGAGATTGGATTTATACCTCGCCCTTCACTCAGAGGGGCTTACAGTCTCCTTCCCCTCCCCACAACAGACATTCTGTGAGGTAGGTGGGGCTCAGAGAGCTTTTTGCAGACTGCTCTTGAGAGAACAGCTCTGAGAGAGCTTGTGACTGACCCAAGGTCACACCAGCAGCTGCATGTGGAGGAATGGGGAATCAAACCCGGTTCTCCCAGATTAGAGTCTGCTCTCTTAACCAATATGCCAAACTTTGTCTACACCAAACTGTAGGCACATGGCACCACCCTAGAAGCGGCATTCTCCCTCCTTTCACATGCACACATTCCACAGGGAATACCTCTTATTTATTTACTTTATTTATATCCCACCCTTCTCAAGTGGTTAAGATGCTGAACTGCAGGCTGTGGAAGGCCGGTAGTTCAGCCGTTTGAGACCCGGGTGCTGCATGACGGGGTGAGCTCTCATCTCTAGTTCCAGCGCCTGCCAACCTAGCAGTTCAAAAGCAAGAAATTACAAGTAGATAAATAGGTACCACTTCGGTGGGAAGGTAACAGCGTTCCGTGCGCCTTGGTGTGTTTAGTCATGCCAGCCACATGACCACGGAAACGTCTTCAGACAGCGCTGGCTCTCCGGCTTGGAAACGGAGATGAGCACCGCAACCCTAGAGTCGAATTCGACTGGCTTTCGAGCAAGGGGAACCTTTACTTTTACTTCTCCCCAATGGAGACCCCAAAGAGCTCACATCATTCTCCTCGCCTCCATTTTTATCCTCACGAC